GGGCGCGAGAATTTCCGGCCCCGGTTGTTTTTCCTTCGTACTCTTCGGACCGCCCCCAGTCTCCCGCCCCTCAGCATCTCTACTCCGCCAGCCCGATCTCGGCGCCTCTGTTTGGGGAAGCGGGCGCGCTTCCCGCGTGGCCCTGTGTCTCGGGTAAAGCGTCTCACCTCCCTTGAACCCCGGGCCGCCGTTTGCGCCCCCAAACCATTCGGCGGCGGGGCCCCAAGCCGCAGCCCCGTCTCCCCGGACAGGCAGCCCGGGATCGGGCCGGCCCGGCGCAGGCCCCCAGCACCGGAGGCACCATGTTCCCCCGGCCCGCTGACCCCGCTGGCGGCCCCAAATGGCGCCGAGCCCCTGGGCCGGGCGCTGAAGCGGGCCCCCTTGGGCCGGGCCCGGGCCGGGCTGGGGGCGCCGCCCCTGCTGCTGCCCGTCCATGCTGATGTTCGCGGTGATCGTGGCCTCCAGCGGGCTGCTGCTCATGATCGAGCGGGGTATCCTGGCCGAAATGAAGCCCCTTCCCCCTGCACCCTTCCAACCGCGAGGGCGCAGCCTGGCGCGGGACGGCCCGCCGGCCTGGGGGGCTGACCCTGGATGCCGGGGACTCGGACTTGCAGGTGAGGCAGGACATCCGAAACCGGACCTTGCGGGCAGTGTGCGGACAGCCGGGCATGCCCCGGGACCCTTGGGACTTGCCGGTGGGACAGCGGCGCACCCTGTTGCGCCACATCCTCGTGAGTGATCGCTACCACTTCCTCTACTGCTACGTCCCCAAAGTGGCCTGCTCCAACTGGAAGCGGGTGCTGAAGGTGCTGGCGGGCGTCCTGGACAGCGTGGACGTCCGCCTCAAGATGGACCACCGCAATGACCTGGTGTTCCTGGCCGACCTGCGGCCTGAGGAGATCCGCTACCGCCTGCAGCACTACTTCAAGTTCCTGTTTGTGCGGGACCCCTTGGAACGCCTTCTCTCTGCTTATCGCAATAAGTTTGGCGAGATCCGAGAGTACCAGCAGCGCTATGGGGCTGAGATCGTGAGAAGGTACAGGGCAGGAGCTGGGCCCAGCCCTGCAGGGGACGATGTCACCTTCCCTGAATTCCTGAGGTACCTAGTAGACGAGGACCCTGAGCGCATGAATGAGCATTGGATGCCTGTGTACCACCTGTGCCAGCCTTGTGCTGTCCGCTATGACTTTGTAGGCTCCTATGAGAGGCTGGAGGCTGATGCCAACCAGGTGCTGGAGTGGGTGCGGGCACCACCCCATGTCCGATTCCCAGCTCGCCAGGCCTGGTACCGGCCTGCCAGCCAGGAAAGCCTGCACTACCACCTGTGCAGTGCCCCACGGTCCCTGCTGCAGGATTTGCTGCCTAAGTATATCCTGGACTTCTCCCTCTTTGCCTACCCACTGCCCAATGTCACGAGGGAGGCCTGTCACCAGTGACCATGGGTATGGGCCAGCAGCTGCTGGAGACTGGTTTTGACAATGCCAGCTTCTCGTGCCTGCCATTCAGAGAAATCCTGGCTCTGTCTGAGCCTGGAGCTTCTCCAGATATCTGGATGACAGGGACGGCCCTTGGAAGTTTTTTGTCCAGGGTGGGTGCCCAACATGGCTCAGAGGACGGGGTTGGACAGGAGGCCTGGTGCTCTCCCATTGGGGGCATTTCTTGGGGCCAGTATGATCTTCCTTATCCTGGCAGAGCCAGATACCAGTTTGCCAGTGAAGTAACACATCTGTTCTGTAGACTAACTGCACGGATTGGGCACTTGGCCCACCGTAACCTGTGGCCAAACCCAGAGGTGGCACCCATAGGAGCACAACCAGAGCCAGGGGCCCTGTGGCTATGGTCACCCGTTCATCTACGAGTTAGAAGTCATGCCTTACAAATAACTTTTGTGCCTTTCTGTTTCAGACTCAGTTTCCTACACTTGCCATGTCCTTTCTGTTTTTCCAAGGAAAGGAACACTGAGTTAGGGCTCTTGCCTGGTAGCTCCAGGACCCACCCCTGCAGGCATCCAAAGAACCCTGTGCCCAGCCTCTTCTTGGAGCTCTGGGCACCTCCTCCCTTCCCCCAAGGCTGTGACTGTGGCTGGTGTATCTGGCTGTCACTTTTCTGACACATTTATTTAAAATTTGTACTTTTTGATAGAACCCTGTGAAAGCTTTGTTTTTCTAATAGCTGCATTTTTATTAAAGATGTTTTGTACACAAAGTCAGCATCTCTGATTCTCCTTCTGAGCTCCTCTGCATCGAGCAAATCTCCCAAATGTCCATCTCCCCAGGTCAGGAGAGGGAGCTTGCAGGTACAGAAAGGAAGACAAAATGTAACTTGTTTGGGCCAGACTGGTGGGCCACTGCCGTAGCATGGAGAATTGGGGAGCTTCCCATAGGCCATACCTGATCACTGACTCAGCTTCTGGGCTGCCACCGCTGGCTGGGCAAACCCCATTAGGAATGGCACACCCCCATGGCTTATTCCCTGAAGAAGGAGGTGGGTATGAGACACTGGCTCCTACTCCTCTTAGGCAGGAATAGTTCTTGACTAAGGAGGCCCCCAGATGAAAAGGGGGATTGTTTTGTGAGCAAGGGGAGGTTACTATATTCTGGCCTTGAGAATTACAAGGAAGGCAAGGAGGTTGAGTGAGGAGCAGGCTCTTGCTGACTTAGGTCCAGAAGAAGTGGTGGGCGATGTGGGAGGATGTATAGCTAGCCTTGCTATTGGCCTGGCGTTGGAGGAGAAGTTGGGGAAGAGGGCTTCTATGGACACTCATGGTTCTCTGCCATGACTCACCAGGAGGCCTTACTTGCCTTATCTGATCCCTTGTCTGGGTCAGGTGCCACTCTTTAGGGCCCCCTTGGCTCAGGGGACTCCACCTCAGATAGCACTTACCATGCTCTGTTGTAATGGCCCAGTTACTTGTCAGTCTCTCCACTGAGACTGAACTGTGTGAAGCTGAGACCATGTCTGTCTTGTTCCCAGAACCTAGCCAAGGGACTGGCCTACAATACGCATGTATATGGCTCAGCAGAACCACGGTGTATATCTTGCTACAGGACAGAGAGCACTGCACTTGGAGTCACCCAGACCGATCAAGTCCCACCTCTGCTCACCAGCTGCCTAACCACCTCTCTGAGCCTCCACATACTCCACTGTCTCGTGGGAATAATAACACCTATGTTATGCCGATTGCTGTGAGGATTAATGAAAACAAAATGAGTAAAAGGGCCCATCCCAGCACATGGTTCAGTGATTGTTCTTTGAGATGCTAGTTGAATATCTGATCCCTTCGAGGCCTGTGGGGATAGGGGAGAAGCCAGGACACTGTGTCCGCCCAGCACTGGAGATCAGAGCGGCCTCTGGGTAGAGCCCCTTTGACCTATGGGTTCACTTCCTGTGCTTGCCAGTCAGTCCTCTGAGCTTTCTGCCCCTCATGGGCCCCACACCGACTCTGCCCCAGCTTCTTCCTCTTTGGCTGGGAACTGCCGCTTCAGACCTATAGCAGCCACTCAGAACCCAGAGAACCCAGAGGCTGCTGGGCCCAGCTGCTATGTTTACTTCATCTCAGTCTTCACAACAGCCCAATGCTTTAGAGACATGGAAACTGGCACAGAGAGGGTAAGTATCCCGCCCTAAGTCCAACCCAGGTCTGTGTGCTCCCAATTCAGAGCCAGAAGAGAGAGAGAGAGAGAGAGAGAGAAAGAGAGAGAGAGAGAGAGAGAGGGAGATGGAGATGGAGATTGTGAAAGGTGGGGGTTGAGGGAAGAAGGAATGAATACAGAGGTTAAGAAGATGAAGGGCAGCTAGGGAGGTCATATTACGGGCATTTGCACACATTCTCCCTCAGTTCTTTCATTCCTTCATTTGCAAAGAATCCAGTTTAGCCCAGCTGACATTTACCAGCCCGCTCCCTGAAGGAGTAGGAGACAAATGAACACTTAGCTTATTGAACACTCTTCTCAGGCATTAAAGCAGCGGTTCTCAACCTGTGGGTCGCAACCCCTTTGGGGGTCGAACGACCCTTTCACAGGGGTCACCTAAGACCATTGGAAAACACATATTGAATATATAATTACATATTGTTTTTGTGATTAATCACTATGCTTTAATTATGTTCAATTTGTAACAATGAAAATACATCCTGCATATCAGATATTTACATGAGGATTCATAACAGTAGCAAAATTACAGTTATGAAGTAGCAACGAAAATAATTTTATGGTGGGGGGTCACTACAACATGAGGAACTGTATTAAAAGGTCACGGCATTAGGAAGGTTGAGAACCACTGCATTAAAGGGTGGCCGGCCGCAGAGCATCTTGACAGCCAGTATCAGACACCTGTGGTGTGGGGAGGAGGGATTGAGGTAAGAAGATGAGGGGGACCGCTGAGACAAATGGCCACCTACTGTCATTTTTCCCTCTAGAGTCAGCCCCTGAGGAAATCAATTTGTCATCTACCGCTCCTTTTAGGAAAATAGGCTTCTTAAAAGAAGCTGCCAAGGAGCTGGCAGAGAGTTGTGAGGTCCAGCTGGCCCGAGTGCAGCCTGCTTTATATTGGCACCTAGGCCAGAGCTGAGGGCGTGAGAGCTGGCAAGCTCTGGGTTGCCAGGGGTGGGGCAGGGGCATTCTCAGGACTGGACACTTGGACCGTGTCTTCTTGGGATTCTCCCTTTGCATTGAGCCGGCTCTCATCCCCACAGGAGTCAAGCTCTCCACCACTGACTATGAAAACAAGGGTCCCCTTCATAACTCCATTCCCAACCACTCAGTTCTCTGGACACAGGGGGACTGGCAATTATTTAACTTCTTTCACCGGTTGAAGGCCGTGAACAAAGGAAAGGGGAGGGGCTGGAAGGGGCCTGGCCTTCCAGGTCTGGGCCCTGACTCCACTTTCAGGCTCCAATTCTGGTTCATTTTCCATCCTGTCTGTTACTACTGCCCAGAAACCATCTCACCTTAAATTCTGAGATTGTTTCCTCTCCCTTTTCTTCTCATACCTCTGTTCCCGCCCTCCAGGAGGTTCCCACCACATGTACCCTGTACAGCAAGCATGTTATTTGGCCCGTGTTAGCCTTTGAGTTTGACATGCTTGCTGTACAGGAAGCAAGATCTGAGTGGAGCAGCTGGCCCTCCCCCTGGGTGAACACGGAACCCTCGCCTTTTCCAGGGGCTCATCGCCAGAGGGGGCCAAGCCTCCTGGCCTTCTCCCAGGGTGGATCCAATGCTTTTTTTAAAAAATATATATTTCTATTGATTTCGGAGAGGAAGGGAGAGGGAGATAGAAACATCAATGATGAGAATCATTGATTGGCTGCCTCCTGCATGCTCCCCACTGGGGATCGAGTCCGCAACCCGGTCATGTGCCCTTGATCAGAATCGAACCTGGGACCCTTCAGTCTGCAAGCCAACGCTCTATCCACTGAGCCAAACCAGCGAGGGCAGATCCAGTGCTTTTAATATTGAACCAGCCCCTGCCTGGCTTCAAGGAAGAGGAAAGGCATTCTTTCTCTGCCTGAAGTTAACTACTAATATTTAACAATAGCTCCTCTGAAATCAGAGCACCTGTGCCAGGCATGCTGATAAGTACTTTACATGTATCCTCTCCATTCTAACAACAACCCAGCAAGGTAAGCAAAATGATTTCCACTTTATAGATGAGGAAATTAAGCCTCAGTGACTTGCCCAAAGAGATGAAGGGGTTGGGATTGAAACCCAGCTCCATCTAATGTTTGCTCCTTTGTAAACGCATCATAAAGTACCCAGCTCATTGCATTTGCTGACAAGCATTGTGTTCATTTTCTCTGATTTCTGCACCCATTCCCAGCCCTTCTTTCCAACGCTCCACAAGCGATTCTGTCCACAGAGCTCTCCAGTTATTATAAAATTCTCTAGCCCACCCTGAGTAGTGCTGGGCCCAGATTCTGAATATGCTAGAGTCTAACAGCTAGACTTTCAGCTCGGGTCCTCTGAGAGGCAGATATAAGGCAGAATTCGACGTGCAAGAGATTTATAGGAGAAACAGCTGTCAAGGATAAAGGGGAAGGGAGCATTCGGCTGGAAGAGCCTGACACCTGTGAAAGGAGAGATGGAAGGAAAAATTGTGTGGGAAGAGTCTCAGATTACAGTGTAGCTCTAAGAAAGTCTCTGCAAGACCAATGGGGAATCCCAGGCAAAGGGTACCTATTGGGGGAATCCTCCCTCAGCAGAAATGGGAAGGCGGACACAAACAGGAGGCAGATCAAAGAGAGATAGAAAGTTGTAGCAGCAGCTGGAGGCTGTCAGCCAATTATACTCCTCACAGCAGGTTTTCTTGAAGGAAGATGTGAACTCAGCACCTCCGTGGCCACTATACAGGCCCAACTTGGTTACTCTGACTTATGGGCATTTGTCCCCCACAGTTCTGTTGGCCTATGACCTGGTCAACAACCAGAAAACAGCTGTTGCCCTAGTAAGAACTCTAAGATGTCTGGGGGATCCTGAACTTAACTCTTCCCATAGCCATTCCTTGGTTTTATAGCGGGACTACTGCCCCTGCCGTGGGCATTGGAGGACGTGTGCCATCACCATGCCCAAATGCCCATGCTGTCATTTTCAGGGTATTTCCTCTGCAGTTTATCCAACTTGCTGCAGGTTTTGATTATCCTTGGTTTGTGCCTTTGTCATTAACTGGGTAGATATTGATGATCACCTTTGCCTACCTTCCATCTTTCATAGGCTCAGCAGACTCACCCAGAGGTTGAGTCTGGGTGCTGGAACCCCAGACCTCCCAAGGGATATAGTCTAGGCTTCCTCCCAGTCTGATCATTTACATAAAATCCAGGGCAGCCTGAGAGGGACGCAAAGTCTCCCTAAAGGGAGTTTCCAAGGACCCACATGCCCATAGCACCAGGTCTTCTGTAGCACCCCCCTACTGAGCTTTTAAATATATATATATATATATATATATATATATATAGATATAGATATAGATATAGATATAGATATAGATATAGATATAGATATAGATATATAGATATAGATATATAGATATAGATATAGATATATATATTATTGATTTTATTATTGAATATATTATGGATTTTCAGAGAGGAAGGGAGAGGGAGAGAGAGAGAAATATCAATGATGAGAGTGAATCATTGATTGGCTGCCTCCTGCATGCCCCCCACTGGGGATCAAGCCGCAACCGTAATCAAACCTGTGACTTCCTGGTTCATAGGTTGACGCTCAACCACTGAGCCACATCAGCCGGGCCCCATGGTGAGCTTTTGAGCTTATTACATCCCGGTTCTGGACCAGTCGGCAGAGGAGTCCCAAAGAGACAGAGAGAATCACAGCATCAGTCCTGGTGGTGCCATTGTGAGGGGACACAGAGGACCCGGTCGGAAAGCTGTGCCAGCCTCAGCCTTGAGGTGGTGCTTGGGGGACAGAAAGACTGAGGGCCTTCAGGAGAAGCCTGTCGTGTCACTGCTGCCACTGGCTCAGTGTCAGACCTGCTGAGTGTCCACTTGTGTGCAGCTGGACGGAACCAAACATTCTGCCTCACGGCAGCCCAGGGGGCATCCACTGGATCCGTTCTCTGTCCTCTGCCCTGGAGAGACTGAGCTGGCCCTGGGGCCTCTGCCAGTGCCCCAGGCAAGCAGAGTCCCAAGAGTCCAAGCACTGTGTCCAGAGAGGCCATCAGAGCAGAGGAACTCATGGCAACTGGACGTCAGGCTGGCCCCTGAGTGAAGGGCCACAGGCTGTCTGGAGGGAGGCCCGGGGCAGAAGAACAGCGGGACTGGCTGGGCAGGGGCAGGGGAAATGGGCCACGCGTTCTGGTTGCGAAGCTCACCATGTTGGGTGTTAGCTGACAACTGACAACCCGACACCCCCAGTGAGAAGCTGCAGTGAGCCTCTTCCGCAGAAGCTGTTGGACACTATGGCAGGCCAGTCCCCTGGTAGGAGGGGTCTCCTGTTGTCTGGGTGCAAGTGTCTAGTAATAAAAAGAGAGCTGTTCTGATAGAAGAGAGAGCTGGTTTAACTAAAGCAGGAAACCCGGGAGGAAAAGCCAGCAACTTTTGGGGAGGACTCTCTCATTTTTGTTCACTGAGACTACCCTAAGCCCAAGCACCCACATGTAACAACACACATAGACAGAGGACTGGGGGAGCAATGGGCACAGAGGAGGAACAGAACAAGAAAGGGGACTCAGTTGACCCTGGCTGAGGTGCTCAGTTGGTTGGAGTGTTGTCCCAC